GGCGGGCCAGCTCCATGAGCCTAGCGTAATTGCCTATAATGAAAGCTCCCACGGCCTTTGTTCCTGGGAGCCAGTGTTCAGTTGAGGCTGTGCTCAGAGGTCTGTGTGCATTCGGGAGCTGATACCCAGAGACCTCAGCCTTCCTTCCTTCTGCCGTGAGTGGGTGGTCCTGTCCTCCCAGGAGTCACTGCGACCCAGGCTGAGCCTTCTGCTCCTTTCCTGACCTCCTGGTGACTGGCCAGTGCCCACTGTCCTGTGAATGGGTAGAGCATCGAAAGACAACTGACATCACCAGTGGGTACTTAGCACATGGAGGGGCTCAGAGGCCACAAATGATTGCTCCTTCTTGGTCCCACAGGTTACAGACAGACCAGGAGCCTGGCTCCCAACCTCAGGGCAGCTGGGCCCTTGATGGCTACTGCAGCCCCCCAAGCAGGATGGAGGGCAGCTTCTCCGGTATGGGTAAGTGCTCTGGAGGGAAGATTCCTGTTGGGTATGGGGAACATCTTCACTGCCCTCACGGCTCCATCCCTTGACAATGAGACACCAGACTGCCACACTTTGAGTTTTCTCCATGTTTGACTCAACCCAGGGTTGGTCTGTTGAATCCAGGAACACTTCCGGGTCAGGATAGGAAGTGACCAGTGGGCGTCGTGTTTGTCGTGTTCAGATTGTGGGAGCCGTGTGTGTGTGTGTGTGTGTGTGTGTGTGCATTATGTGAGGTGTGTAAAAGGGAGTAAGCCAGGAGAACGGGAGCCAGGTTCTGTGGGAAGCCCAGGTTAAAAGTGAAGGTGGTAGGCACCAAGGGGACAGCTGGAGCCACCTCACCAGCTGCCTGACGACTGTGTCCTTTCCTAGGCCTGCTTTTAACAGGCCACTTCCACCTATGAGCCTTCCTGGTATCATCCTGTGTTGTAACATATCACCTGGTGCACTTACACTGTTAACCTCAGGGACCTGAGAGTCACCACACATAGGAGTGTTGCTTCTGGGCAGACACTGCTTGCTCTAGGTGCATTCTCGGGTGCCAGTGTCTCTGAAGGATGGAATGAGGAGTAAATAAATGAGCAGCATATATACCATTGGTCTAGTCCTATCTGGGTCAGATGCCACACGCTTAGCAATATTTAGGGTGTGTCTTAATTTTTCTCACAACATGAAAATGATGCCTAAAGGATGCCGTGATGCCCACCAGAGGGACATAAGACTGCACATTTCAGGGACCCAACGTTGCCCTGTAGTTCCTAGGCCAGGGGAATCTTGCCTAGCAAAGTAAGGAACTGGCTTTGGAAAACCTAACGTTACCAGGTTTTCTGACAGCCTCGTCTTGGTGCCCTGCTCTCGGTGGATGGGGCGTACAGCACAGATTGACCCTGCCAGAATTTGACACCAGTGGTGTGCCATGCTTTCCTTCTCTGCGCCCTGCTAGCCAGATGGTCCAGTGTTGACTTGGCCTAAAAGGTCAACAGCAGTGATCTTAGATCTGCAATGGCTGTGCAAACAGAAAAGGCACACTCGCTGCTCCACGGCAAGCTTTGCAGGGGAAGATCCCAGTGTAGGGACCAGGCATTTGAACAGTAAGCCCTCCTCCCATAGTAAGTACACATGCAAGAGGACCAGGGCGTGGCTGGGGACACAAGGAAACCAAATTTCACTGGCACTGACAAACCATCAGAATTAGAATGTGGTAACCAGGAAACTATGTGGAGCTCTATTTTTACATTTGCAGTTTTCTTAGTGTAATGGCTTCCTTATGTGTACACCACATCGTTAGAGTCTAATGATCTCCATCCACCTAACCAGCCTCTCATTCTTAATTGTTATCCCATGAGCTGGCAAGAGGACTTTTGCTTTTAGCATCTGCTGCAGACTGGCACTAGGGATCGCTGGGGCTTGTCAGCTGCCAACCTCACCAGATAGAAGTGAGCGTGTCTGACAGATAATAGGGTGGGTACTCTGTGGGACAGAGAGCGTCACAGGTGGGCTTCCCACAGAATGTGAGAAGCACCAGTTTCCTCCATGGCACCTAGAGAAGGGGAGCAGGGTTCACAGAGCTGGCTCTGCTCTGGAGCTTGCTAGTTGTCATGGTGATCCATCTTTGCTGAGCGTACATTGCGCTCTTTGATGGGTTGGATGGAGAGAGGGGTTTAGGATTTGCCTCCCTTATGGGAAGCTTACGGTCTTCTGAGCTGGAAGAAGACACAGAAGAGAGGAAGAAAGGAGACAACTGAGGGGCTCCATTTTATGTCTTGCTCTCCCACCCCCAACCTTGGCCATGACATGACTTATTTATTCGTGTATTGTTTTATTCAATCTAAAGGCCATCGATAAGTTCTTGCCTTGTACCAAACACTGTACTGACACTGAAGCAAAAGATGAATAAGACTTTGACCTGCCTTCACCGAGTTCACTGTCTAGGGATGTATTCCAGGGAGATTTCTCTAGAGGCTTTGTTGGCCTCCGGAAGCCCACCCAGTGAGCTGCCCTTATGGGTCAATGGGCAGCCAGTCAGTCCCGCCTCCCTCACCAGGTCCTCAGCATGAGAGGGGTACTGGGCTTGTTGCCCTCTCCTTGTGGAAGGACAATTGAGTGCCATGGCGAGTCCTGAAATTATACCACTTTCAGAACGTGCAGCACAGCAGTTTCCATTACTGATTGTTATTTCCATTCCATTCTGTAGACCACAGTGGGTGGGGGTACTTTTCTTGATGCTCAACTCTCCCCACTTTCTGTCCATGAACTGTTTGGCAAATTAGTGGAACAGGTGAGTCCAGAATAGAGAGTAAGCAGCTGTGAGCTCACTGGTCCCCTGTGAGGCTGTTTTTGCTCTACCAGCTGAGGACGAGCAACTGGTCTACCTTGGCCTTCTTCCCAGTGTGGTTCCCTCCAGCCTCCAGGCTCCCTGCAGCAGAGGGTGGGGGCAGAAGAAGGCCAAAGGGCTTTCTGTGCCTTGGACCACCACCTGGACAGTTCCAAGAGTTTGAATAAGGCCTTATAATCTTTGAGTAACAAGAAGAGGATTTTCCCGTGAGGACTTGCCTCCAAGCTGGATGTGGGTGACCCTCCTATGTCCCAAAGGCTGTCTGCATCCAGCTGTTCCTGCCTCTGCCCTTGAGTGAGCATGGAAGAATCCAGCTCACAGGTGTTCGCACGTGTGCCCTGGCTCTCATGCCCACCTGGCTCTGCTTGAGAGCCCAGCGCTCGTCCATCTGCTCACACTCAGTGACAGGCTGTACACAGGCCACCATCAGATCTTAATTTGGACAGCAAGGGAAGCCAGGGCCGGCGCTGCCACGTGCCCACATGTGTGAGGCTGTGTGCAGGAGGCCCAGGGAAGGTCGCCCGAGGTTTACACAGATTCCTTAATTACTTCCACTTGTGGCATGTTGGAATGAGTGCTAAGTGGACACATAATGAAGGGATCTTTTCTCCTCGTACCATGTGTCACTGGGGAGCAAACCAGAATCTCCTCCCTGCCTGCTTCTCACATGACAGCTGATATATATAGAACAGGAGGGGCAGTGTGGAGTTTGGCCTCACTCTGGGGTCGTTTTACTTTTCTTCCTCTTTGTTTTCCCTTTAAGCCACAGTTAACCTGTTCGTGTCCTATGGATTTGGGAGCAGGAGTGGAGTCCTTAATCTAAGAAAACTTGCACACCTGGTGTGGCCTGTGCCAAGGCAGGAGCAAGAGGTGGTATCCGTACTGGCTGAGAGGAGTTTGTTCTGGGCTTCTAGAGAGGGCGCAGCTCAGAGATGCAAGTAGATCACCAACAGCAGAGTAAGCCAAAGCTCTGATGAACCTTCTAGGCCACCCACTGTGGCCTCACTTCCACAGGGACAGATGAGAAATGACTGGCTCAAGCACCATGGTGGGTTAGCAGGTGAACTGAAACCCGGCCTGCTGCCCGCGGACTCCCCAGACCCTAAAATCCACAAATGATCGTGATGCCTACCAGTTACCCAACACCGGTTACATTCGAGGCCCATTGCTAGGTGCTCTATCCGTAGAGTCCTTTGTGAACACATCTGACGCACCTCACCTGAAGGTCATGCCTCCTCCAACTCCCCCGCCTTCCTGCCTGCTGCCATAGTCACCCTTGGTCAGCTGGCACGCTGTCCAGGCTCAATTCAGTCTCCCACAAGCCCTGCCAGGGAAATGGGGTCAGAGAGCCCCAGTCCCTGTGAGGTCTCCTTTAACCTGTGCAGGCCCCAGTGTCACTGGCATCTCTGTCGCTCCAGTCCTCTGTTATTTCACCCTAAGTTCACACTGCTGTGTTCCTTCCCCTCTGGGGACGTCGGGGCCAAGATGAGCTGAGGTCCCAGCCATGCATGGAGAGAGGACATGCCGATAATTGACTGAAAAACAGGCCGAGCTCAGGGGTGGGTGGCACCAGCCATGTTCTCAGGGCACCGCTGACCAGTGTCAGGGTAGGCTTGGCAGGGCAGGGGTCTGTGGATGCCCCCTTTTGGATAAACAGAGCAGCCTCTGGGACCAAGTGGGCTGGCAGGAGTTGGGATGGGAGGTCACGTAACAGCTGACACTTGCTGTGGCTCGTGGGCCAGGCATTGTCAGAGCACTCTTAATCCTCCAACAACTGCATGAGGCTGGGACTTCACCCCTAGTTTGTCAGGACTTTCCCACTCGTACTGTGCAGCTGTGGACAAATTATTTAGTCTCTCCGTAGTTGTGAATGGGGCTGATGAGGATACCCTCCTTCAAGGGTTCTGTGGAGATTAAGTGCATCCACAAGGTACTGTGCCTGAAGACAGCGGGTGCATTGTAACTGCTAATATGTGTTAAGCTAGCTGATGTCTGTCATCGAGGAAAGGGCTATGATTTCCTGACTCACCTGCCTGGTGAGCAGTCTGTAGCACAGTATGGGGAAGTGATTTGCCTAGGCAGCCAGGCTTCAGAGGCTGTCCTGAGTCAGCCATGCCTTAACCTCACTGGAGGGAGGGGAAGGGGCTCGAGTCCAGGAGGCCCCCGGAGGTTGCGAGGGGGCATAGCAGAGCCAGGTTCTAGGAGGAGGCTAGAAAAGAGGTCATCCGAGGTACCCTGCTGGAGGGGCCTGAAATAGAAACTGGAGGGATCTGGATTCTGTTGCTTCAGAGGAGGGAGGAGGAGAGAGCAGCCTGAGTGACTTCTCCTGACAGCATTTGGCTGGGACTAGGATTTATCTCCAGGCAGTGACTTGGATCCAGTAAGAGCCATTTTAGTGGCACATCAAGAATAACAGAAGCAGGACAGCCTGGAGCCCTCCCTCCCCATGGCTACCCTGGATGCAGGCCCTTCCCAGACCGCTCCTACTCTAGAAGGCATGTGAGTGGTTCTCAGAGAAATTTGCAGCTGTGTGTGCCCAAGATACAATATATGGGGTTGGCAAGGCCCAACTTCTCTGTTTTCTGCTGCACTAAGAAAACCAGGGCCTCTGCATCACCCAACTCGAGGGAATTTATAGTCATTTGCCAATTTTTAATTAAACACTTACTATGTGCCAGATGCTATTGTAGAAATTGTAGAGCTGATGATGAATTCTGGAGCTGTGTAGTGTACAGCTTGTACAACTGTACATGATCTGCAGAGTGGCTCTGAAGAAGGCCCAACCCTGGAATATGTCTCCCACCCTAGAGAGCAGAAGCAGAGCTCTGGCCTCATGACACTCCCTGAGAAGACAAGGCAGTCTGGGAGCCACCCCTCTTCACCCGAGTCCTTTATGTTAAGATGAGCAGACAAGGAAGATGTTGAACATCACCCTGTGGTTTTCCTAGAGAATTCACACACAATTCTCTACACAATGTCTGCCTGTCCTGGACTTGGCTTCTTCCTGACAGGCACTTAGAGCTCAGCCATCTTAACTCAAGACAACTGCCTCACTTCCTCCTAGGCAACCCAAGCCCTGTGTGCCAATGGGTCTCAGAGAGGCCTGAGGATGAGCACACTTGCAGGGAGGTGGCCTGGTGATGAGGCATCTCTCCAGAGGGGAGCGTGGGAGGCAGAGCTGCTCGCTGAACCCCCACCACGGTGGCCCCTTTTCCTAAGACCGGTGTGGGGCGTGATCTCAGGTGCAACCCTGAAGCTCATGACTTCCACCTGGGCAGGCAGACAGCCTGCAGGGCTCTGTGCCCAGGTACTGACTCCAAAGACAGGTTGTAGCCCTCCGTCCAGCGCCGCAGAATGGGCAGAGACTAGAACATGACATCCGAGGGAGAGCAGCCCCAGGGCCACATCCAGCCCACCTGCCCGCCAGAGAAGCTGGGTTTGCCATGAGCACTGAAGTGGCAAGTCCCCGGTGACAAAAGCAGGCCCCGGAAGGCAAAGTTCTCCTGGCACCGAAGCTCCCGCCCACCACACCAGTGAGTATTCTTAGCATGTGCAGAGCCATTTTTATATGCCAAGTAATTGCCAGTGATTATTCTATTAAAAATCACTAAAATATGAAGCCATGGCATTCCCCTTTAAGTTTAACGCCTCATTGAAAAACCTAACAAAAACTCTAATAAAGCACAGAGGTTCCAGCGGAGCGAATGAGCACAGAGTGGCTCTCTCCAGGGCAGGGAGAAGGCCAGGTTTCCCTAACCCCACTGTCCCAGCTGCTTCTGGTTAAGGCAGGTAAATTTCCTCCACACTCTTGCGGTTGTCTTTAAAGTTTTGGAGTCAAGAACCCATGTAATAGCCTGCTTGACAGCATAATATGTCTGCAGAGATGAATGGCCATCTTCACAATACCTGGCTCATATTTGAGGGTTGGTTCTGGGCCTCCAGAATCCAGGCTGTGAATGCAGATTAAGGAGTTCATTTCTGGGGTAGGATGTCATCACTGGTTAGCAAGACAACCTTGGCTTTGGGCCTTGTGTTTTTCCTCAGTGTTTGGGTTTACTTGGTCCAGAATGAGGCGATAGGATTTATTACAATGGGTCAGTTCTGCCCTGAGGGAGAATGTTGAGTCAAGTGATCCTGGAGGTCCCACTAGCCTTGTGATTCAATGAAGTTGAAACACTGCATGGACAAGTCATCTTTGACTGTAAGTTCACCCATCCAGAAGGATATACACTCACACAAGCAGCTTGTGTGTCTCTGTCTGACACACGAGCAAGTCACAGGCACACACTTAACTCACCTCTTCCTGTGCCCAACTGGTGTCTTCCTCAAAAGCCTGCAGTCACCATGACAACTAATCCAGATTGGTCTCAGTCTGAGGGTGATGTACCTGGATGGTGCAGAGCTCATGTGGGGCACCACGTGCAACAGCCACCCCACATGTGTGTGGGGGACAGTCAGTTGTCATGGCAACATGCAGGACAAGCACATGTGGGAAACATCTGGATTTCTTTTCCTGGGCTTTTTATTGGCCTGCAAAGTAGGGGGATTTAATTTTTAAATGAGTACAGTTTCAGAGTGCCCTAGATTAGGTATTTTCCTCCTGCTTTTCCCTGCTGGAGGCCCGGAGCATAGAGGGAGTAGAGATTATCCACCCTCGCTCTCCACTAATTTCTCACGTGACCAGCTGAAGTGTAGGGAATGTAGGCATTCTATTAAGTCCACATAGCAGCCAGGAAGAGAACCCAGGACTGACCCCCAAAGCTTGTGATTGGAGAAGACCCCAACAGGTCCTCGACTTGTCTGCTGGGAGGGACCAGGGCCCCAAAACAGACGTCACGAGGTTGAGACACTGCTCGTGTGATGCTGCAGATCCCAAGGTCCACCCTGCATCCCATCCCCAAGCCCAGGACTTGTGGCCAGTCCTAAGCTGACTACAGGCTAGGCCCATGCTGACCTCGGGCAGCAGATGTCCACAGCAGGGCAGGCAGAGAGGCAGGAGCATCCTTCCCACTCTCCACCCGGCCCCAGGACCGTAGACTTTCCTGCTATGAAGGGCCACACATGTTGGCCCCACATTATTAAGCAAGTCCCTGGAAATAACTGCATGTGATAACATGAAGTTACAGGACTGTGTGGCACCAAACAGACCCGAATTCAAATTCTGATTCCACCAACAGCCTCCTCTGTGGTCACAGGCAAGTGTATTTCTTTGCAAAATAAAGACAGTGATAGTCCTTGCTTCCCAGAGCTTTTCTGAAATACTGAATATCATGTGGCTGAGAGAGTTCCTGGCAATAATAGGTGATTAGTAACTGTAGGGTCCGCTGCCCCCCGTTCAGCAAACATCCGTGAGTGTGAACTCGCAATCCCGTGTAAGAGTTCACAATTCCTCTGGCCAGAGAGAATGTCTCCCTGGGGTATAAGTATCCAGAATGTGACCACCTGGCTGAGTGTTATCAGTGGGAAGGAAAGGTGAAGGGCAGTGTGGGATGGGGACTCAGAGGGCTCCCGGGGGCTGGCGGCTGAAGCTGGCCTTAAAAGGTGCAGTGGAATTCATATAAAGCAGGCAGCATTAGGAGAAGCAGGGCACAGCAAAGGTGCAGGTGGGAGAGCCCTGGAAGGTGGGGAGCCAGGGGCGTGTGGTCAGGCAGGCAGATACCAGAGGGCAGGGGGCCATTCTTCCTGTGAGGCAGTCCAGGTCCCTGAGTCGGAGACACGCGCTCCCGCAGGAGATCGTGTCATTCTGGTGTTAAAGTGAAGCAAGGTCTCGATGCCCGGAGAACCTAGAGCCTCAAAGAGAAAGGATCCTGCTGCTTTCGTTTGTTCTCCAAGGCTGCCTCAGGACCAGGGCTCCATGTTCCCTGGCCCTGGACTGTCCAGCCTGGGCGTTTCGCCTCTAGGGTCAGCTGAGAAACCCATGGCAGAAGGGTCAGCCAGTCCTTTGGGCTCTGATTCCAGTACACTGCCCAGGTGACCCTCTGAGCCACCCGCAGCCTCAGTCCCTGTGCCCTCGGGGGCCACCCAACTCCTAAGGGATGTGAGGGGAGCCCGTCCTCCACTGGGCTCAGGCTCTGGTCCTGTCTCCTCCTGTGACCAGAGGTGACCTTTTCCCCTTCTCCAGGTCCCGTTCCCGCCTCTTCCTTTGTAGCACGGCAGGCTCATCTCTGCTTCGTGGCTGCACTGTTGGTGTGGAGGCTCAGAGGATGATGTTTCCAGGCAGCTGTGAGCTCCGAGTAAGCACTGTAGCGTAGAATTTCTTGGCTTTCCATTCTCCCTGAAGCTCTGAGACTGCCCAGCCATAGAGCAGACGGAAGCCCACGACCCTGGCTCCTCTCCGGCCTTCAGTTTGCTGGGTGGGTAGGAAGCAAGTGGGCCGATCAAGGAGGGCTTCCTGGAGGTGTGAGCATGCTGGAGCACTCATGTTGGACAACGGTGTCCGCCGACGCCTTGTCTTCCACAAGTGGGAGTGAGGAATGGTCCTCGAGTTCCAGTTGGGAATAATAATATTACGTGTGCCAGACAGAACCATAAGAACACATCACCTGCTCTTGTCACTGTCTTTCAGAAGTGTGACGAGACTCTCCCCGTGCCTCTGAGTGGAGCATAAGCTTGGGGGCAAGAGAGTCTCAGCCCTGAAGGTCCCAAGGCCATTTTCCCTTGAAGGGGCCGAGAGGAGGGCTGGGTGGCTTCCCTTTGGCCCAGGGTTACATGGGAGGGAGAAAAGATGTGCTGGGACACCGTCCCAGAGGCCTGGCTCCCACTCACACGCCAGCTGCTCCATCTCTCGCTATAGGCGACTGAGAGGTCACCGCTGTTTACAGTCCCCTGCACATCTGTTCCAAGTCACGCATTCATTCATTTAATCAGTCGTCATTCACAAAATATTTTTGAGAGCCCACTATGTACACAGGGTTTTGATGCCTTCTGAGAACAAGTTTAATGGAAGGTGTATCCATGGGACACACAGATGGGTGAATGATGAATGGTGGCTACGGTGAGGAGGTCATGAGGCTGCAGTGAGCTGGCAGAGGTTGGGGAAGCCACCCTAAAAGGAGGGATATTTGGACTCGAGGGGCTTGGGAGAAAACAGGACTCTAATCCTTTCTCAGAACCAGCTCCTCCCACAGCCTCCATCTTGATCAGGCTGAGAGCTGCCCAGGCCCAAAGCCTTGGGGATATGACTGCTCTCTTTCCCACACACTCACACTTGGCTCATTAGCAAATTCTAATGGCTTCAGACTACACCCGGCTTCTGACCACTTCTCACGACCACCACAGTCACCACTCAGTTCCAAACCATGTCCTCTCCCCGCCGGATAATCGCCACTGCTTCTGTCTCTGGCCCTGTGCATCTCCACACCAGAGCCAAGAGTCCTTTCAAGGGGAAGCCAGGTAATGTCCCCTCTGCTCCAGTCCTGACAGGGGCTCGCTCCAGGCGAGAGGATGTCTGTAATGACTCTGAAGCCATCGTGTGCTGCCTCCCATCACATCTCCAGCCTCACCCCTCCACTCTCCCCTCCTTTCGTGCTGGTCTCCTTCCTGTACTTCAGACATGTGAGGCACATCCACCTCAGGGCCTTTGCTTAGGCTGTTCCCTCTCTTTGGAAATCTCTTCTCCCAGATGTCCATGTAGGTTGCTCCCTCTCTTCCTTCAGATTTTTAGTCAAATGTCACTTTCTCAGTGAAGTCCTTCCCAACAGACTATAAATTGCATGAGGATTTTGATCTCTTGCACTCTGCTATATCCTCCAGCACTTGTTATAGGTGGGCCGGCTCCAAACAGGCCATAGACAATGGGGACCTGGTCTCTTAATGCAGACAGGACTTGGTGCTCAGTCAGTTCTTTTCACAGCGTCTTGCACACATTCTGGGTGCTTAAGACATCCCTGCTAATACAAGGAATGGCATGGGGAGTTGGGGTGATGGAAAGGCAGACGCAAGCAGAGAGCTTTCTACAGAGGCAGAGCTGTGGAATCTACTTGGGTGGTAATGAGCAGATCTCCCCGTGGGAGTCCAAGCAGGGAAAACTTGAAGAAAGATCCTTTCATTGTGTTGACTGGTAGCAGCCTCTCCTTGGCCCAGGGTCCTGAGGGGTCACCGCCGTTTACAATCCCCCACACGTTTGTTCTAAGTTCCACATCTCATGCAGTTGCTTATCATTCACTAAATATTTGTGAGCGCCCATAATGTTGTGCACAGGGCTTCGACAGCTTTCCAGGTAAAGTTCAACCAAAGATGGATTCTGTGAGCCTGGCAGAGCTATGTGGCTGGGTTCCTAGCCTTTTCTCTCTAGATCTCAACTGTGGACACAAAAATCAAGGACAGCCTCCCTCGCCCTGCTCTGTCCTTATCCCAGGGCAGTGCCAAGTAGACTCCCTGCCTACTACTCCCTTCCTCATATCTTCTCCTCCCAGGGTCGTAATTCAAGGTCATCAGGGAGGGAACCATCTACACTCCATCTGCCTCTCTCTTCCACTGCTGGCCTCCCAGCCTCCGAACCCTTCCCACCAGGCAGAGCCCCCAGGCTCCCCACAGACTCCCTGAGTTGCGTCCATTTCCAATCAAAGGGCTGTGGAAATGTGAAATCACACTGCCTGCCTTTCTTTGGCCCTGTGCCTACATTTTCCTTCCTCAAATTCCTTTAAGTTATCGGTCAACAGATGTGGTCAAATCATTCATCCTGTCTTTAGCCCAGAAACTGCCAATGCCTTTAGAGAGAAAGGAATGGATTGACACCTGTCTTTGGGGCAGCTGGAGATTGAGGACTTTTAGAATTTCGAACTAGACTCTTCCTCCCTCCCTGCTTAGAAACCAGGTGAGATCCAGCTGCCCTAAACAGGTAACGGATGTCTCCAGCACCCAGTGCCTGCCTTGCCGGGCCTCTCATCGTGAGCCCCTCCGCTGATCACTGATCTCTCTTCAGTCTTTCCGAGAGGGAAAGTGGGAAGTGATCCAGTGGGCGGGGCTCAGGACTGGGTTTGGGGTTAAGGTGACAGGACACGTCCCTCTCTTTTTAGGGACCACTCCAGGAAACATTGCACATACTGGCTTTATCACCTAAGGCTGGAATGGCTGTTGCCACGGCAGCAGAGCATTCCTTCTGCAAAAGAGGATGGTGGGAAACACAGAGGATGTGAAAGGAATGGAAAAGAGCCAGGCAGAGGGACAAGTCACATTAGAGAGCATCAGAAAGCCCCAGGATGTGAAGAGGACTATTTAAAGGGAGCACTACCTGGCAGGGCAGGATCTCTTGAGTGACAGGGTCAGCCCAGGAAGGACGGCACTCCATGGGTCCACCCTGCGTTAACTCATGGGTTTCCGCCTCAGAAACTCACAGGTGGTGAGTCCTGCAGGGGGCAGTGGGCACGATGTCTATGTGTACGTACGTGGTGGGCAGGTCTGTGCCTCCCCGCTGGGCAAGCTTCTCAAAAGAAGCAGAATTTCAGGAGCTGTTTATGGAAAGGAGGAAAAGGCCTTGGTATTTGCGGACTGTAATATCCCATGAGGAGGCAGAGAGGAACAAAGGGGAATCCAGAGAGGAGGAGGAGGAGGGACTAGGCTGAAACACAGACCCAAAGGAGGGACAAGATAACCAGGCAGGCAGAAAGGAAGTCAAGTACCCAGGGCAGTGGGCATCCAGGGACAGGATGTGCAGGTGGACAGAGCAGCAAGAGAGTCATGTTTCATAACTGCTAAGGAATTTTACCAGAGACAAGGGGCCAAGTGAAACCAGGGAAGAGAATATGAGGTTTTTGCCTGCATGGAGCAAATGGGTCATGGTGGACATAGTGCTTTTCAACCAGGGTGGTTAGCAGTTAATTTATTTTTGATAAGGAGATGAGTTTATAGGCAGGAGAACTTAACAGACAAGCAAGAACTTCCGTAACCTGATAAATCAGATTGCAGGTGTCCTCAGATTCTCCAGCTGCTGTTAGGAAAGGCAGGGTCCCCGTATGATTGATGCAGGGGCATTTTGGGTAAATTATACAGTGGCCAATGAGTGAGGATACGGACTACAGAAATGATGGCTTCTGGCTTCATTACCCGTGGCCTGTGGGTGGATAAGAGGGGGACGATTGTAGTAACTCAGAAATTTGGCACCAAAGGTGGGGCTTCATCCCTTTCAAGACCTGGAACCTCATGACCTGTCCCATGACCAGTCTCATCCTGTGGGCACTCTGTGCATGACCAAATTCTGGCATGATACCATTTACATCCTCTTAACCAGCTCTTTTGTGCTTGTCATTTCCCACCTGGACTCACAAGCTGTGACTCCCCCTAAGTTTCTAAGTGCTGGACACAGGCCTCTCAGGACTGCAGGCCTTGTGTTCTCTGCCTTAGGACTTTCTGGTGAATCCTAGCACCCAACTCCTTCCCCCACCCATTTGAAGCAATGGCTCTTGTCATTCCTGTAACTAGAACATACACACACCTCTGCCTGTCCATTCATGATGAATGGGTAGGACATTGCTTTCTTACAGGGACAGGATTATTAGTTCCCTGAGTCTTGCATTGTCTGCCTGGTATTTCCTGCCAGACACTGAGTTCCTTGAAGGTACTTTCTCTGTATCTCCAAGGCCAGCCAAAGGTCCGTGCCCTTTTCTGTTTAAGAATCCTATGTTCTCAGTGAGTCTGCTCTGATCCTTGTCCTCAAAGATTTTATGGGATCCCCATCCAGCACTGGGATCATGGGAGGCAGGGACTCTTGGGCCACAGCCAGGACCTGAGAGTCATGCAGGATACAGAGCCCGTGGCAGCCTTGAGGCCTCCAAATCCATTTAACCATCACAGCTGCCACATCTGCTCCACGTGAGCGCTGAGGGAGGCGGTTCCCAGCCCCTGTGCAGGTGCAACCCTAAGCGCCCCTCACACAGGCCAGGCCTGAGGTTTGTGCTAGGAGACAGGGACACAGAGGTCTTCAGATCCTCGTGGGAAGGAGGGAGGAGCTAGAATGATGGAGGCTGGGAGGGGTGGGAAGTAATCTGCTGGTTCTTACATTCTGGCACCGTTCCTGAGGCTTTATAGCAGTACCTGGAGCGGGCCCTTCCTGGAGGAAGCTTACCTGTTGAGAATTCCCCTCCACCCTCTTTTGCCCATCACCTTTGGCTTGGACAACCTGACCCTCACTTCAGAGGCCATGGGAAAATGGGTAGTGTCACCCTTGGCTCGACAGAGGGACAGTCGTAGGCAAAATGCTGCCTCCTCTGCCTGGCTCTCGCTCCCCTCCTCCCTGCCCCCTCTTCTCTTCCCTGACGGGGTCAGGAGGGGGAAGGAGCAGGGCTGGGGACAGGTCCTTTTAATGGCTCGGCAGCCGTGCTTCAGCACTGGCAGTGCTAAGCCTCTCCTGAGTCCCTAGATTTGACCCAAGACTTGATGGTACCCAAGCTCTTTCACCCAGGAACCTGTTATTACAGAGGCACAGCAAGCCAGAGGTGCCAGTGACTTTGACAAGGTCAAGCGGGCAGCTGGAATGGGAACCCAGTCTCTCGGTCCCAAGGGCTGGTCCTTTCCTGTCAAGTCGCTCATATCCTACCCCCAGGCCCCTGCAGTCTACGCTCAGAACAGCAGCACCCCCAGTCTCCCATGTAAGGTGGGAAGGCGGCTCTGCCAGGCCGCACTGGCCCTCTTACCTGGGCTCCATCTCCTCAGCGCTGCTTTCTCCCTACGCTGCAGAGGACCACCAGTGCCCTCTGAGAACCCACCCCACCGCCCGCTGAAAGCCAGGACAAAAACTGGTCCTCTCTTTTATTACCCCCACCCCACCCCCGCTCTCCC